GAGGGTAAGTATACATCTATGTTGGCAGGAGATACCAAGTCACCAAGGGTAAGTGTACATCTATGTTGCCAGGAGATACCTAGTCATCAAGGGTAAGTGTACATCTATGTTGCCAGGAGATACCTAGTCATCAAGGGTAAGTGTACATCTATGTTGGCAGGAGATACCAAGTCACCAAGGGTAAGTGTACATCTATGTTGCCAGGAGATACCTAGTCATCAAGGGTAAGTGTACATCTATGTTGCCAGGAGATACCAAGTCACAAAGGGTAAGTGTACATCTATGTTGCCAGGAGATACATAGTCATCAAGGGTAAGTGTACATCTATGTTGGCAGGAGATATCTAGTCATTAAAGGTAAGTGTACATCTATGTTGGCAGGAGCTACCAAGTCACAAAGTATTAGTGTGCATTTATGTATGTAGGAGTCACCAAATTAACCATTCTTGTGCTGATGTTTTATTTGCTGGATTTTTTCATTAATGCAAAGACAAAATAACAAATCGGTTCAATATAATTCATCTTATATTGCAGGATGTTTCAGCTGCAATTGATCCTCATATCACCCCCAATGGAGTCCACATGTTTCTATGGCAACATCTTCAGTATGATCTTCATCTGCTGTCTAGATCTAGTGGTAAAAGTGTTGATGATGCAGCTTTGACAGTACATATGGTGCTCCATAGAATACTGAAAGAAAAACCACTAGGTAACATTATAAAATGTTTTAGATTATACATTTCATATCATGGTGTTTCTATTTTGATCAACTATTGTTCACATTCAGTCAGCCAGACTAAATAGTTTTAGGCTGATATTTTACTGTGTTCAGTTTTGTTCTAGGCATGCTGTTATTATGTATTGTAGGCATCCATATTTTAACTTGATATTATACAAAATGTAGAATACATGCATGGAATACCATATACATACTTTTTCAAGATATCACTGTGGAACAATAAACAAGTATGTCTAAATGGATTCAACTTGTGGAAAACTGGACTTGTGAATGACTGGTTGTAAAATTGACATCCTTTCCCTCATGAGTCAGTTCTCAGTGATGTAGCAGCCAGGGGTGACACTTTATTTGCAATCAGAGAGTGTTCCCCTTGTAATGTGAATTCTAGTCATGTGCTTAATATAATTTTATTCCAATGCTGTTACATCAGATGGTCAACATTTTGATGGACATCTGAAGACCAAGAAGTCTAGAGCTAACTGGGAAGACATATTCACACGTTCCTATATCAGTCCAGTTGTTGAAGTGAGTTTTGTTTTATTTATTGTGTGAAAAATTCTCATTATTTCACAAACTATGAGATATTTATCACGATTATTTACCATATTTGCTCTGGTAAAGAGCTCCTCAAATAGTCTTCTAAGATTCAACATTTCTTTTTCCTAGGATTTAGCTCGAAAATTACAAGTAGCCAATCATAAAGTTCAGAATGATAAACGGCTCGGTAACAATCCATTATTGAGACTTTTATACGAGGTAGATCCACCTTCTGAAAAGTTGACAATTAAGTCCTTGTACAATGTACCTACTGTGTGGAGATACAGATCTAGAGTTACAATTGAACATCTTACACATGCTTTACAAGAGAACACCGCTGGATGCAAGAAACATTTCCCTATTCTTCAAGAATTCCTCGATAAGGCAAGTTGTAGAATTATAAATTGTTTTTTCTCTCTTGTGTTTCAATTACCATACATGGTATCAATGTACTTAAACCTCCTAAAGTGAGCTTCATTGTCATAGATATTATGTGATGAAATAATAATAAAGTTATCAGTCAGTTACATCAACAAGATAACACAATTATTCTTCCTCCCAAATCCTAAGATTTTTATCAACTTTTATAAATGTCATCTTATTTCAGGAATATAAATTACGTGCATTAAAGTACTTACCTGATATTGTGCATTTACAACAACTATTAATAGATGAATATCATAGAAATATTGATATTCATGAAGCAACTAACTTAAAGATTGGTAAATTCCTGAATAAGTTGCCAAGAGGTAGGTAATACATAGAAAAACCTTGTTAAGAAGTGAAATAGATTTATCATATTGTAAATTGTGAAAATAACTGAAAAATGTTATTTTGTATTATATTATAAATAACTGTATATGCTCGAAATATAGAATCAAGAAGTGAAAAAATAGTTATAGTCAGGAAGTCAGTATCAACAAAGCAACCTGATGAGGGACAAACTTATTCTTCCACATGTTGTTTTAGGTCATGTTCGTGACAAATACACAAGACTTATCAAGAGTTTCAGTCTAGCTTGGAATCTTGTCAGGAATGAAATAGCTAACTATGGTGAGTTTCAGTTATTTGTTCTTTTGAAAATATGTACAGTATGTGAACCACGAATTATCCTTACCAAATTTGAGTTTCAAAATAAGGTTTTTAAACTGTATAACATCTCTAATTTAAAACACGCTGTCTGGCTTTAATTCAAAATCTTTCACAAATGTACATTTTGTAAAATAGTACAAGACACCAATTTCAACATATTTCTGCAGCCAAGAGGATTCTTTTTCTAAATGCATGTTTAATTATACAGCAGTGTTTGCTTCTATTGGAGATGCACTTTTAATAGAACAAATATGGTACTATCGACCACTAAATCACAAGCAAAGTATTTTTGATAAGCCGTTAAATATTGTAATATTTTATAGCAGTGTACATTAAATATCATTTATTTATTCAATAACCTCAAAATTACAAAATCGTGGAAATTTATAGCATCCAAATTAAAACGGTTTATACTTCAAGCAACTTGACACTGACACAATAAAATTGTTGCTTTCAAGGTGGCTTATATGTTAGTAAAGAGCTATGCAGTCAACCAATAGATGAGAATAGTAGTATAGCTATGGTGTTACCAACCAGGAAAGCTGATGGAGTCTGTTCTACTGCATTGGTAGATTTCCTGATCATTACGCAGAATGAATTTATTGACCAATACGTCAGAATATGCAAAGTGGATAGTAGGCAAGTAGTGTAATCATTCATGTATATCACTTTATGGAGAATCAATTGGTGCATTTGTTCTTAGTTCCTGTTAGGAAAAAGAAATTCATGGATTAATTTATATGTCTGACATCTACAATGAAACAGACAAGGTACATGTATATCATAGCTGTCTGTCAATAGTTAATGACCATATAATGTCATTGTGTTGTTAATAACATTTTTTGCTCCACTTCTAAATAAAACAATGATGTAGATATCTGGGCATGAACAAATGAAAATAACCAGTCCTGTAAATGTTTCATTTTATAAATCTAGTGATGATGAGATTCTGCCATGTGACTTGACGCCAGCACATCTCATTGCTTATGATCCAGAGAAAGATCTCCTTCCTATAGTGCTGTCACATTGTAGTTATTCACTTCAAGTTGGACGTGGCACGCTGGTGGAATATAATCTAAGTGGTCTGGAAAGACAGCTGGAAGAGAGATTCATTCATGGGAAAGCCAAGATAAAGAGAAAGATAGAACAGCTTGTGTTCCGTCAGGATTCTAGAGATGCTGCAGTATTTGAATCACTGCGTAATAGGATACAACAAGTATGTAATCAACATTCAATTAAATATTTCTAGTATCTCAAACTGTTTACCAGATGGGATTGGCATGAGAGGGCGCCATCCAATCTGGGTGGAACGCTTCAAAGTCATTGAAATATCAATCTGTCAATTTAGAACTATCATGCATGCTATTGGAAAGCAATTTGGCACAATTTTATTGAAAAGAAGAGGATTTCATTGCTCATGAATATTAATTTATGCAAATGAGATGAATATTTCAAAGAATCGCCCTTTATAGGCCCTTCAAACCTGATATTCCTGTCAACCTATCTGAAGTCACCAAGGTGAATGCCAACGTTAAGTTTTGTCACATTTCACAAAATAAATTTTTCATCTTTTCTTCATTTCAAAAATGTTTTCAAACCATCAATAGGAAATATATTTGCATTTTGGCCAAAAAATAACAAATTTTTTTGGGGATTAGAAATAATAGTAAAACTTTAATTTTCTCAGAATTCAAGAAATTTGCCTCTCCTTAAATTAAATGTACATAGAATATGCATTACGGTACACTATCGGTATGTTGATTTCTCTACTATCAATACATGTACTATTCATTGTAATTACAGGAATCCCTGTCTAAAGCCATTCAGCACCAGATAGTAACAGAAATGAAATCCTTGACTGATGTATGTGACTCTTTGGCATGCCTGGACATTGCTATTGGATTCTTAGCATCATCAGGTGGAAAAGCTGATATGTACATCATCAAATACTTGGTAGATACGTTGAAGATGGACAAAGAGAATATGAAGGTACATTATGATCTAAATTTCAATGACGATGAATAATACAAATAAGGTCAAAAATTTCATCAGTCATTTTCTTGAAGAAAGTAAATCAGTATGAAGCCTGCTATCCACCAATAATTATTGAAGACAGATCATGGCCATAAATCATGACTATTTCAAAAGAGAAGATATTTGGATATTGTTTTTGTTTTTTTAAGTATACAAAATAAAAATAAATACAAACTTTACCTTTATTTATTTTTACCACAATTTAACAATATATTGGCTTGTTTTCACTTGTTTTAAATCTTATCTAATCTTCTAAGCATCACAGGTTCTACATCAGAATAATTATGAATTTATACACACACACTTCATTAACATAACTTTTTTGTCTTTTTTGTCAGGTTTTCCATCCTTCCATACATTAACTTTTAAAAAAGTTTCTTCTTTCTTCAAAGCTTTTGCTTGTGCTTCTGGCTTAATGCCCTCCTAAGCAACCTTGCACATAGTGCAGAGTAACTCATATCCGCCCGTCTCCAAGCTGCAACCATTTTCAAAAAGTGTGCAACTCAATTTTCTGATATATTCTCAAAACATGACCTCACGTATGTCGGTAAACAATACATTTGGATTTTGTTACTGTAACAGTAATATATGCACTATTCTGATGGAATTCAACCAGCCCTCTGTATGGTATCTGTCTGTGTTTTAATACTATATTTTCATTAAGTATTCATACTTATTTTCTCATACTTGATGTGTGCTATCTATATATTATGTAATTAACAATTAATTTTTCACCATATATGGCAATGTGTTTAATGGTAGAACTGGTGTATTTATGTTGTGAATCAATACACAAATCTATTTTTTTATATCATAGGTGAGACACTCTTGTCAGCTGAAGCATATTCTGTCTCTATGGCAACTATTAGCTGTGGAAAAAGCGAGAAGACTGACCCTCAATTCCCAGGTAATTTTAATTGTACATTGCATTAGCTAAATTTCATACAAGGCCCATTGCTCAAGTCTTATTGACCCCTTCCAAACAGTTTTTTTTTAGCTCCACTGTCGACTTTGTCGAGCGGAGCTTATCATATGAGTGATTGTCCGTCGTCGTCCGTGTCAATGTTTTACTTTTTCGAAAACTACAAGCCTGAATGCTTTGATACTTGGTGTATATGTACCTTGGGTAGACCTCTCTTAGGTTTGTTCATTTCATGTTGATATCTTCAATTCTCTAATTTTGGTGAATATTTTTGTCATTTTGGTAAAAAGTGATATTTTCGACTTCTTGTTAAAACCGCAAGTCCAATTGATTTGATACTACATATATAGGTACTACATGTGGACCTCTCTCAGATTTGCTCATTTCGTGATGATATCTTCAATTCTCTAATTTTGGTGAATATTTTTGTCATTTTTGGTAAAAAGTGATATTTTCGACTTCTTGTTAAAAACCGCAAGTCCGATTGCTTTGATATTACATATATAGGTACTACATGTGGACCTCTCTCAGATTTGTTCATTTTGTGATGATATTTTCAATTCTCTAATTTTGGTAAATATTTTTGTAATTTTTGGTAAAAAGTGATATTTTCGACTTCTTGTTAAAAACCAATAGTTCAATTGCTTTGATATTACATATATAGATACTACATGTAGACCTTTCTCAGATTTGTTCATTTTGTGATGATATCTTCAGTTCTCTAATTTTGGTGAATATTTTTGTCATTTTTGGTAAAAAGTGATATTTTCGACTTCTTGTTGAAAACTGTAAGTCCGATTGCTTTGATATTACATATATAGGTACTACATGTGGACCTCTCTCAGATTTGTTTGTTTTGTGATGATATCTTCAATTCTCTATTTATTTTGGTAAATATTTTTGTAATTTTTGGTAAAAAGTGATATTTTTGACTTCTTGTTAAAAACTGTAAGTCCGATTGCTTTGATACCATTCATATTGTTCATTTTCTAATGATGTCTTCAGTTCTTTAATTGAAATGTGCATTGCTAACAGCGGAGCTATCTCAGCCGATAGGCTGCTTGTTTTTTTTTGTAATCATTGGGTGGCAAGTCTTAATAATCTTTGGCAAGTTTTTTTGATTTATAAATGGTTTCCAAAGTAACTACACTATTTTTGCCTTACATGCAATGAAATGAAAAAGGAAGATCATAGTTAAAAGAATTCTATCCATGTTGACATAGTCATCAGTGTAGTTGCATGTTGATAACAATCAACATGTGGACAGATTTTGTTGAAACCTTTATGCACAAAGAAGTGTGAAACAGGGACTTGTAATTTATTCATATTTGAGAACCCTCTAGCTGGACCAAATCTGTTCATTTTCTGCATGTGCTAACTTCTTTATGTGGGACGTAAGCACATATTATGTAAATGTATTGTCCAATGTAACCAAAAGGAAACCTGATCTAAATATGCTGCAGCATTTAACAGCAATACATTAATAGTTGAATGTATTTGTTTACTATAGGACCCATTTGACATCCGGGATTTTAGAGACCAACTGACTGAAGGACAAATAGAGAATTTACAACAAGCCCTGCAACATATACAGGTGGATGCACTGGTTAATGAATTACATGATTATATCGTTATTGGTTTGGAGAAACAGAAAAACTTGATGCAAGATGAACAACAAGATGTTGATAACTGGAAGTAAGTAACATTATTATACAAATGTGTACCCAGTAAGATATAGAAGTTCTGCATTCATTTCATTCATTACTACAGCATCCAGCCATATACTAGTATATCTGCACTTCTTTCCATTGGCATGTCATACTAGTATGAATCAGTATATGTTCTCTTAAGCTCACCACTGAGGGTGTGATTTTGGTTCATGTTGAGTGTTTAATGTTTAGTCAGCAAATTGGTCGGTTTCCCGACTCTCTATTTGTATTGAATCATAGTTTATCATTAGTTTTGAATCAATCTATGAAGCAGCATGAGCATTGCTGAGGTAGAAATTATTATATGTATTATTATACATCTGTCACCGTAACGCCATGAGTTACAGCATGCCGTAATTTTGCGGTATTTACGGGGTATTTTTATCCTACCATATTAGGAAATGCAAATTCCAAATATAGAATGATTACGCAGGCAAGTGTTCTCTAATAATAAAAACAAGACATGGCATGAGTTTGATCGGACTCCACACAAAGAAGTTCGCTGATTCGCATTCCCATGGTGTATCCTTGGAAGGAAAAGATATATAATAATGAGGTTATTATGAGAATACCTCAATGTATGCACTCAGACAGTACACCGGGCATCTACCTCCGCTGCTCGCCGATCGCCACTGCAGCTGTACTGTCTTTGTGCATACTTTGAGGTATTTTCGTAATAACCTTATAGTATTCACACAGGAGTACTTTCTAGCATCTTAACAGATAGTGTCACAACTGTTAATGTGAGCTCTACTTAAAATCACAACTTTCCCTTTGAATTTACCTTAGTCACTGGTATGTAAAGCAATATTTTTTTTTAATTCTGTTTTTACCTTGCTTGTTTGCAGATTGTCTGAAATTCTACCAGTTTACATTGAGAATAAGGAAGGTGAGCCAATCACTGGCTTTGTTGAACATTTCCCGGAAGACATCCTTATCAAACATATCATGAGTACATGGGAAGAAGTCATCAAATACCAATATAAAGATGCCAGTAGACGTTAACAAAATCAGTCTTATTACAAGACAAGTTATCTGTATTTTTTTGACCAAGATATGTTTATTTCAAATATTTCTGTTCTATTTAGTGATAGTTTAATGCTATATATATTGATTTCCAGTTCATTATGTTCATTGTAATCTTCCTAATGAAAATCATATATTCTATTATGTTTTGGTAAACAGCATTTATACCTGGACTGCATGTTTGTGTATACTGTAATGTTGTTATAACCTTCTAAACATGATAGATATGTATAATATCTAATACATTATATACTATAATCTGCTATTCTTTTAATAATGCATTTATGCAGATGAAATTAGTTTATTTTTAGACGCATGTACCGTGTTGGGATTTTGTGTAATTATTTGTTTATAACCCCCACATTACATGTATGTCCTGGGGGGGGGGGGGGTTCCATTTAAATAATTGAATGTGATATGTGAAACTTAATCAACTACTTAATAGCTTTTTTTGCAAACTCATTTGTCTATTTACAAGATGTTGGCTTTCTGCGTGTTTTTTTAAGAGAGATTAATCATATGAACCAAAATAGTGTTTTTTAATTATAAAGTATAGATAATTATGTACCCGCATAATAACATAACTAACATGATAACCAAAAAAATAGATTTCTGAATATTACACTGTTGAATATATTGTTGATAAAACTATATTGTATCTTTCTTTGCTGCTGGTCATGTTCTAATGATAATAATTTGCATAATATTTACATATTATTCGACTGTCAACTAGATTATTGGTTTATGTCATCACTAGACTATTACTAATTCTTCTACCGTGAAATACTTTATTTTCGCTGGAATAAATTTTCGCTGAAAAGGCTTTTTGGGTGTTTTTTATAGAATTTATTGTCACTGATTTTTGATGAGTTTAATGTGAAATATAGGAAAAAAAATATATTCGCTGGATTTTATTTTCACAGAATCATCCCTTCAGCAAAAATAGCGAAAATAAATTCCAAGCGAAAATAAAGTATTTTACAGTATTAATTTGTATTGTATGTATGTATGTATGCATTTGCAGGCCACAATACTTAGACCATCGGAATCTGAATTTCCATGTGTAATTCCCCAATTAGTTAGTGCTCGTTCTGTGATATTACCCTGATTGAGTATCATTGCTTGGCCATCAAAACAGCGGACCTGTTCATATAAGTGATTGTAACCCATGTTTGTTGCTCATCACAAGGAAAAGAGCCTGAGTGATTGTCATTGCTTGACAATTCTGGTAACCCTCTCTCTCCTCCTGTCACAAATTCAGATTCCGATAGTCTATCTTGCAACCCACTAACCTATATTTCTGTATAAAAATGACATGTATAAATTAAACATCAAAGGTTAATATTCATGTTTGTTGAGCTAAAGACTGAGGTAGTCATCTGAAGCTTCAGACGTGTACAGCATTTTAGGTTACCGTGACTAATAAAACATAAATAAGGCTTATTTGATTCATCAAACAAAATATTCATCGAACAAATCATCAGTACCATGTTTCATGTATGTCTATTGTATGCAGAGGTACATGTGGTCATATTTTGATAATCCAATTAAAGGGCTATGGTCTTTATGTACTGTTTGATAAATGATTCGGTGGCGTACACATGTAAATTACATTGTTTATTTACATGAAACTGGAACATGTGCTGTAAGACAACCACTGCCTTTAACTATAGATGCAGTATTTATGTATATTTTTAGATATATTCTGTTGCACCGAGAATTTCAATGTTACATATTTGATTTGATTGTATGCACGATATACTGTAGTTTTATATTTGTTAATATCTTGTGATGAGAGCAGTTTATAAGTACATGTAAAGTTGTTATGCTTCATTACCAGTAATAAAGTTTGCAGATAATGTGTACTTTTTAACACTTTTTTTTATCCCTTTCTTTTAACAGGATAAACTTGTTATCGATGGGGACTACATTCAACTCCCTGCCTCAATGATCAATGTTAGTGGCATTTGAACTGGATATTTTCATTATTCCTTGATATCTTCCACTCCCTCACCCGCCACTAGACACTCAACTGTAAGGGTGCTCTACCATTTATTTACACTGACCACCATCGCCAATAATTCTGCACCCAGTTGTGAACCTCCTGCACCACCAAGATCCCATATCCAGCCTCAGAGATCCTCCTTATCTACAACCTTTACTCTACCATTATCTTTTTTGTTGGTATTGATTGCATGCAGTGATTCACATTATCTTGCACTGATGGATTAGATTGATTGAGACTTTGCAGTGTTTGCATTAACTTTTGTAACTATAGTCAGTGAGAAAAAGAATTGTGATGTTAAGAGCATGTACGATTTTCAATGAACCAATGTTAGTTGCTGTCACGTGAATATACCCATTCTGATACAATCATATTCATTGTTTAGGCTAGATATCTATTTCTGCATGAAACATAGTGGCGTCAGTTATAATCACTGCTTGATGGGTTTCAAATACTGTCATACATTGCGAATACATCCCTGTATTTAATCACTCCCACTGATCTAACATTCTGGGTTTAACAGTTAATTGTCCTGATCGTATAGTAGTACCAATATGTGTTCCAGTAAATCGGTGTTGATTCCCGGACCCAATGGTCGCTTAGTTTATTTGATTAACTAGACAACTAGTAGTGAATAACTAGTGTTTCCCCATTGCGTAGTAATCGTACATAGAAATATTATTGCTTTGGTTCCACTATATTATAAAATAATTACATCAATTTAAAATTCAATTTTGGAGTGACTTGCAGGTATAATTTTAATGATATGGATTAAAATTTGACTAACAAGTGAAATAAGTGCACAGAATGAAGACGTGTATACTGACAATGAGAACAATATGTTAGTACTATTTTGTTCACGGTCTGACAATTGGATATTGCAGTAAGATGTGTTGTCATTTTGCAGTGTTAATTATAATAAGAGTGACATGTACAGTTGTAACTATTATGTATATCCTGATTTTGGTTTGTATTTTGATTAGGTCAAATTAAATGTTACTTGATACACACGGTAGTATACTAATTAGTTTTTCATGCAAATTTATGTTAATTTATCATTTGAATAAAATATCTTTTTCGTCCAATACGTTTTGGAACAGTATATCTAGTTTTGGTGAAAATTAATACTGCATATAAATTTGGTAGATTTAATTTGGTTTAAACTTTGTTTTTGTGTAAACTAGTTTATATCATATGATACATGCATACTGTTAATAATACTGTTAACAATTACAAACAATCCCAAAGCATTTTAAATAAATCATTTTTTAAAAATACAATGATAAAATAAAACCATTCAGGTAAATTGAGAATAATGTAGAATGCGCAGGTAATAAATTTAAATTTGTAAATAATTAATTATTCAATCAATTAATTAATTAATTAATCTGCACATATTGGAACACCAACATACCACTTTATAAAGCAATAGCAACAGTATTGAATGCTTAGATTTCAAAAATCAACAAACAGGAGCATATTTAGTTTAACATATCCTTTTAATGTTCTTAACACGCATGTTACATCAGATATATTCAACGTTCCTTAGTTTCAATCTCCAACATTAACAGGTTTATTTCTTAGTCTGCTGTGAAATCCAATTCATGAATTCTTTGTTGCAACACAGGTTTGCTGTTATGCGTCTCTGTGTGTTACCATCATTAAAGCACCAATTTCGCATTTCATGTGAACTGAATTACAGCATGTCACTAGTGTCTGCTAGCCCTTCACCAATCGCCCATGGTAAATTACAGTTAGTTTCAGAAACATGTCATCGCCAACAAAAAAAATTAATTTAACATCTGCAAATAATATTCTTTAGCATACAAATCTGCATTACAGTTAACTTTGATACAACAAAAATGAATCTGCTAAAATGTTGGCTAATGTTATTTTCCTCTCAGTTTCCAAGTTATTATAAAACAAGTTTATAAATAATGTTGGAATAAAATGGAAACCGTGAAACATTTTGATTAGCTCAGTTATAATTTGTAATATACTGTGGAATACTTTATTTTCGCTGGAATTAATTTTCACTGAAAAGGCTTTTTGGGCGTTTTGTGTGGCATTTATTTTCACTGATTTTTGATGAGTTTAATGTGAAGTATAGGAAAAAAAGTATATTCGCTGGATTTTATTTTCACAGAATCATCCCTTCAGCGAAAATAAATTCCAAGCGAAAATAAAGTATTCTACAGTAGTAAATATGTCCACATCTCCACCCCTCCACAGTCTTGTATAAATAATTTCCTTTTTCACTTCATTTATCAGAAAAGCATAGATGGCTATTAAGATGAGGTAGACTGTGTCATTACATCTTTTCAGTCAGATAACTTATGTCATACGATGCTAAAGTTTGGTATATAAACATTTGAATATCTCCCGTTTGCGTGGTGCAATGACCTCCGTCCTTTAACAAATCATAACCAAGAGAATTGATAATGGGATAATTAAATTATATAAATCAGTTCCACTGGTAGTACCATTTTATGACAGAAGTTTATAATTACTGTGCAGAGCTTAAAAAAGTAACAATATGACAACAAATTATTTTACGCTCAGCAGATGCCCACATGGCAATTGGGCAGAACATCAACAAGGCACATACAAACTAACACACAAGTACAAATTAAGGAGATAGGAAATGAATTGTTTTAGGCAATCTTAAATCCTAAAATGTTATGATGAACACTAGTTCTATTAGTCAACAATAATTACAATCAAGGTCCAGGGAAAAGAAAAAAAGTTTAATCTGTTTTGCCATAAAAATATTTTTTTCCTGAAAATTCTGACAAAAAAACGAAAAGAAATGTTTTAACCGACACACACAATGACCAGAAACATGATTATTCCCAACCTAAGCTATGAAAAATAAATATAGAATCTGTATTTGTGCTATAATAATTTGCCTTTAACAGAAAAAAAGTTCCACTGAAGTTACTAGTAAAAACATGACCACATGACTTATTTTACATCATCTATTATAAAAGTGAAGTGTTATTGAAATATAGATCTTGCATTAAAATATTCGACATGTTATTGTCAGATTAGATTTTTACATTTAGAATGTACACATTCAAAACTTGATCATTCTTACTGACTGACTGTTAAACACATCAGAAAATCCAGGCCGCACAGAATAATTGAATTGAAGGATGTTTCGGCCTGGGCGGTTTGGCCCAACTTTTTTCAATGTCGAAAGTTTTGGCCACGGAATTTTTGTGGCGTATTTTCATGATTTTCTAGATTTGTTAGAAGTATGGCATATTTAACTTGTACATTATTAGCAAATTAATATGCCGAGCTTGTAACATACAAAAGTTATTAGCGTGTAATTACATGTAAATAGCAGTGTTCTTTTTAATTTTAACATTGGTACACGGGAAGAGAACACGCATTTGACAATGAACCACTCCTTGCATAATATTAGTATAAAATCATTTTATTCCGGGGTTGCGACCTCTGGCTGTTATCATCGGGAAAGTACAGGAAGGTTTTTTAGTAAACGTGACACACACTTCAATGTATGACAAGTTTTGGAACACATTTTATCCATTTATTAATACTTTTGATATAAATGATTTTCATGTTGTATTTTGAGTATGAATTAAAAGATGCAATTTAAATTTTTTTTGGAAAATCGCAATTTAAAAGATTTTACTCTGAAATGTTCTTGTTAAATCTGACTCCTCCTTTCTCACATAACAGTTTTGTTAAGAAAACTAAAGAATACATTATTAAAAATAATTTTAGAAAACCCCAAAACACCAGCAGCCAAAATGCCTGCCTTTCAAAAAGGTTGGGCCAAAATGTCCGAGCTGAAACCTCTGTCCATCAATTGATTGATATCTGGGTTGATCAGCTTATAAACAACATAATTTCCAATACAAGAAGTGTTTTCTTACATAACACATGATTATTACTTCTTCAAAATCTAAGAACACATGAATATTTTTGCTTACTAACCAAGCAAGGAATCCAAACTGCATAGACCGAGTGATATCTGGATTGATCAGTATATAGACAACATTTACAAAAATGTACGCATCATGTTATCTTGGTTTATAACATGTGAATATTTGTTGCGCCACAGTGAATTACCGGTACATATGAATGTTGTAGTATGTAATTCAAAACATCTGGCAATCCATACAGCATAGACTGAGATAATCAGTATATAGACAACATTTACAAAAATGTATACATCACGTTATCTTGGTTCATAACATGTGAATATTTGTTGCGCCACAGTGAATTACCGGTACAAATGAATGTTGTATGTAATTCAAAACATCTGGCAATTCATACAGCATAGACTGAGATAATCAGTATATAGACAACATTTGCAAAAATGTACGCATCATGTTATCTTGGTTCATAACATGTGAATATTTGTTGTTCCCGCAGTGAATTACACATGAATGTTGTAGTATGTAATTCAAAATGTCTGGCAATCCACACAGACTGAGTGATATCTGGAATAATCAATATGTAGATAGCATGACACCATGTACAAAGATGTTATGTTAATTATTTGTTGTTTACACAGTTAGTACACATGATCATCATTAGTGAGTCTATCACAGACACAATGGTTACATCCCACAGTTTATGTTTTGCAGTGTCTCGATCAGTCTGTCTGCTTGCAAATGTTCACTAAGTCATCTCTGTTTATTTCCTCCAGCATCTTTATGAGTGCGGACATAGTACACGGCACGGGAGATTGCGTTGCCTCCCAGTGATAGAGAAACACATCTGAGATTGAATACCTGTGATTCATGGAGAATGTTTTCACAACATTCACGTCTTGTAGCGGTAACTCTAGAAATAAAATAGTGCAAAAAAGTTATTGCCTATTATAATACAGTAAGCTGCATATTATAATACAGTGCGCATTCTCATTGGTTGATTGCCGCCACATGTGCATTCTCATTGGTTGATTGCCACCACATGTACATTCTCATTGGTTGATTGCCACCACATGCTGTCCAGTTATCAGATGATAACCAGTCAGTGCTTGGAGACAATTGAGTGAATTAGCAATATCCACATTTGTAAGGATTGAACAAGACCATATCCTGGTCATCTGCATTTGCAAATTTACCTCAGAGAATACCACATATTATTATACATCTGTCACCGTAACGCCATAAGTTACAGCATGCCATAATTTTGTGGTATTTTATGGGGTATTTCCATCCTACCATATTAGAAAATGTGAATTCCAAATATGGAATGATTACGTGCATAAGCATCCTCTAATAATAGAGGAGTTTGACCTGACTCCATACAATATATATAATACATATATTCTGTTCTAAATATTTTGGATTTCGGTATGCACTCAGACAGTACGCCACACATCCACCTCCGCTGTGCAGCGGTCAATACTTCAGCTGTACTGTCATCGTGCATACTTTGAGGTAGTCTCGTAATAACTCATAGTATGCATTAAGACAGTGTAAACTTTGGTTGATGCGATCATCATGCTCGATTCATATATACTTTGTGATATTCTAATTGTAATAACTTCCTAACAGCCTAATTTTTTTTTTTTAAATGATTTAATGTAATGTCTTTCAAGAATACCAAAACCATTTCAAGCAAGGGCCATAAGGCTGAGGGACTGATATAGGCTGAAGTCGCAGCCTTGTTATTAATTATGCATGCATCTGGATGACGTAGTAAAATTTGCATATAGGTGCAGCTCATTTGCATGGATTGGTCAAATTGCAGAATTTTAGTTTGTTTATTGGAATGTCTTGTGTCAACGCTTTCTGTTTACTGTCTAATAAACCATCTCCAGAACATCAAATTGGTCAAGTTCCATTTTTTACATTGAAGACAGTGCAAGTCAGTCAGTCAATCACTCTTAAGATGTACAACAATGATCTGGTCAAAGTCCCCCAAACTTTTCGCTCAGCAAAACTCTGCCTTATGGCCCTCCCTTGAAGTGCTCCGGCATTTCGCAAACACATTACGGCATTTGATTAAAAAAATCATTAGGCCATAACATTAATTCTACATACTTAAATAAATGGCAAATTTTTCCCATCCATTATTCACATCAAAGTGATGATAGAGAGCACTTCGTTGTTTTGGAGTCAGGAACAAAGTTGGTTCTGTGATTAATTTGGTGAACTCCTGTTTTAACAGACAATCTACAGTTTCTGTAATCTGCAAAGTAAGATACCAGAGTAAGCTTAGAAAGAACTCCCGTGTGCTGAGAGTATTGGAGACACATTAAAAATTAATTCAAAATTACTTGTACTTGGGATACTGATAGAAAACCCGAAAACTGACTAATTATGAGAATCATGTAAATAATATGCACATATTTGAGTGTAAAACTGATGAGGTCTGTGCAACGTCACAGACCATCTATGTACCAAGTTTCAATGAAATGAGATTAGAAACAAACAATTATGAATTATTATTAGGTAGTAATTGGGTAATTTATAAGCAAAGATTTTAATTCATAACTAATCAGGTCTGGACATTGTTCTAGAACATCTATGTACAAAGTTGCATTGAAATGTAATGATTAGTACTTGAGCCACAGTGGAAAAACTGAAAATTAATAATTATGCAAATTGGGTGATTAATATGCACAAATATTTACTCAAAAATAATCTGGTCTGTGCACTGTCCTATAACATCTATGTACCAAGCTTCATTGAAATGAGACGATTTTCATTGAAAATTGACTAACCATTATGCAAATTAGGTGATTAATATGCACAGATTAGTGCAGAACATCTATGTACCAAGTTTCATCAAAATCCAATGAGTGGCTCCTTAGATTATCATGCGAATTAGGTAATTAATATGCATAGATTACTACCAAAACCTAATCAAATCTGCGCATTAGCCCAGAGCATCTATGCATCAAAAACCAACCTGTGGCTCTTTAGATATCAGTGAAACAGACAGATACACCCACATACAAACAAACATATATAAACACACACACAGACTAACTGCAAATACCCCCATTATGTAATTCGCACATGGGAGTCAAAAAATAGAATTAGAGAAACATAAAAAAATGCATTTTTACTGTTCTCAGTGAACTCTTCAGTAATAATTGCAAGCTTTCCTTTTAAATAGGTATCCATCATATTACACTTACTGAAAATATAATAATGATAAATGATAAGTGAAATTATTACTCACTGTTGGACATTTTCTGTGAATAAAGTAAAAAAAAATATGATTATTGTGATCATAAACACACAACATTTTTACAAATATAACAATATAACATTGGAGCATATGGCTCATGGGTAGACGCTTGTTTGTAAACAATGACACGCTATGGCTACCTGACACATGCGCATGTGACGACTCCCCCCGCTTTTAAAATGAATGGTATTATTTTGAATGGCACCACACATAAAGAAGTTGGACATTATGAATCAATCATGTGTGGCGTCCATAGCATATTAGGTTTAAGCATGTCTGAAGCTGACATCACCACACCAGTTAATCAGTTTGAATCAAATCACAAAACAAATGCATGTGTATCAGTAACCCATCATCTGTGATGTTCAGGCATGCCCGACAAATGGTTTATGAAATTTGTTTGCATGTGTTGGGAAAAAAAAAAGCCAACAGTTTGACAAAAGGTCATCCAAACAAAAAAACAACCAAATAATTGTACACTGGTACATTATACTTTCAACAAAATCAGTCAAAATTGACAGCCAGTCAGTCGTTTAGAACCAAACCACAAAACAAATGACAAGCATCCTGATGATGTCAATGTCAAATTTGAATAAAATTTATGCATGCAAGCCAGACAATAAATAGACATTTACATATCTCCTATTATGACTTAATCTGCATAAAATCAGTGCAGGTGTGAAATAATGTTCTATGCATCAGTAAATCCATGACACACACACACACACACACTAAACATAAAACATACATCCCTGTTTGAGACTACTACAAGGACAGAGATCTAAAAAGGATTATTCATGATTTCATTTACCTTTTCCTTGGTGGAACTATAGGAGGACAAGGTACCGGAGAAGGATATTTTGAGTTATGAGGGCAAACAACAACAATGGCAGAATTGTCTTCAGGCAGTTTATTATGCTGATCATCCATCTGTACATAATCACTCTGACTGTCTTCATCATCAGATTCTGATTCTAGTTTTTCATCTTTCCAACTAAAAGGACATCCATCTGGAGGCTTCGGTCTTGGCGAGGGAAGAGGTGGAGGTCGTGGTGGTACATTAATGTTTGAAGGGCTAGCTTTATTCCCTGTTGTATGTTGCCCCTGCTTTTTCTTTTTAGGTGGAAGTTTAGGTGCTTCATCGGGTAGCGATGGCTGAACTGCAGGCAAAATGTAAGAGAATTACCACAGTAAGAACTATATTTTTCTTGAACACTTGTTCTTGAAACTTTATTTTATTCACCTTTAACTTGCTTGTATTAACAGTAATTAAATGTAAATAAAGAACACGATTTTATCAGATAATATGATCATAACACAATTTGCTACCTTTTATAAAATTTCAAGCCAAGTATTTATTTGTTTCACGATCCCAATATGGCTATAATAATAATCAAAGAAAGCTTAGAAAGAACTCCCGTATGCTGAGAGTATTGGAGGCATATTACAAATCAAAGAAAGCTTAGAAAGAACTCCTGTGCTGAGAGTATTGGAGACACATTACAATTAATTAAAAATTTAAGATTTGCTTTTCAAACAAGAAGCTTGGCAACTAATTTTTGCCTGCTATTTGAGAGGCATACCATGAAC